TATGTTCACCGCTTCTCTCGCATTGAGCGCCAACTCTCCATATCGGGAAACTTCTTTCTGGGAACTTCCTTATATACCGATCTTCTATTCACATAGACTTAAGCCACAGGGCTTCGCGTACATTCATATGCTTCCATAGATTACAGAGTTTTGCCTCCAGCTGGAATTGAACCGTTGACCTTGTCTGTGGAGGGAGGGGCGCCTAGACCACTAGGCTATGGGACCCCATCCCTTAAAATTTGATCATATTAATGTATTTAACATAGTTTTAATTACATAACTGATGTTCCACCCTAGTAAAATGCCAAGATATACGGTAATTATAGTCTCGGTGAAATAAAAGTACCGTGCTTAACCATGTGCATAAATAAATATTATTAGTAAATTTGTTGTACACTTCCCTAACAAAAGTCATCGACTTGAAGATCTTATAAAAAACAGTAAAATATTGATGTTGAGATTTTTACGCTATAAAAAAGCCAAATTTCTTTATTATTATATGGTTTTTAATTTGTATTATTATAAAACTCATCAATTATAGTTTCAATAAAAATACTTTTTTAATATTTGAAAAAAAATTTAAAACGTCAGTCTAATCAAGAGATTAGGTTCTTTAAGTTTTTATAATTAGAGCTTACACAATATAGAAAGCTTATTTCTTAATCAGGCTAAAGTATTTAAAAAAAAAAATAAAAATATTTTATTGAAAGTATAATTGAAGAAACTCGTAACATAAAAAATTTCAATATTTACTGTTTATTATAGAAAAGATCTTCAAGACAGTGACTTTGTCAGGGAGTTTACTTATCAAACTATTAATGAACTCACCCCTACAACAAACAAAAAACCGTATATAAAACAACTAGGTTGGTATTGAATGAAGCGTTGATATAATCTGCTTTTTAAGTTATCTTTACGTACGTAGTATATGACCTATCTATGGGCATCTCCAAATAAGAAGAGGATGCCTCAGCCTCCTTTGGACTTACCCAAATATTGTTCTGTGCCACTAACTCTAACCCTATCACATATCATTATTGGATTTACAGTATATATATTACAATATATAATTGATTTTTAATTTTTGCAAATAAATTAACAACTACGTAGTATTATTTACGGGTATAAGTTTATCATAACGATAAACCATTGTACATATAATGTCAATACATTTTCGTGTAACCGTGAGATGCAGGAAGAAACTAAATCATTATTATTGTTATATTTGGACCTTAACGTTAAATTCAGTGAATCGGGTTTTGCTGATCTGACTAACTAGTGTTAACATGGTGGAGAGTAACTCGAGGTACACCTATGTATGTATGTACAGTATAGTTTAGATTGTGATGTGTGGATTGAATACTATAAATAGACTTAAGTAAGTTCAATTATCAGGCGATGATTTGAAATTAGAGAAAATCGATTGCGATAGTCATTTTTATTAGTAATAAAAATTATATCGATTGGATTATATACCTAAGCCATAATGAGTCATCATGATAAGAAACGCTATAATGGATAATTGTGAGCATCGAGATTTCAGAACCTATTAGTGAAGGCACGGCACTATCAAAAAGAGGAGATATTAGTTCCTTAATTAAATTAACAATATATCATATATATTTAACATTAAAAAAAAATTAATAATAGGCATGAGAGTGAAAACCTGTAACCAATCATAGTAAATCATCAATCTCACACACTCATATCGATATAGATAATAATAATAATAAAGACAAGAATGGTTCACGTTATCAATCTATATACATATTAAATTCAAATATAAGTAAAATCCATTAATTAGAATATACGTATACGTACGTGTTTTTTATACGTAGAAACTATATATTTGATATATATAGTGTATATATATATATACGTTTTGGGTATATATAGTTATGTAACAGGTAAGGTTTAAGTTTTTTTTTAACCTACGTATAAACAAATCATCGATTATAAGATCGTACATATCGATATATATTATATTGTATTTGAATTAAAGTTTTCTATGTATTATCATTGTACATACCTTATACATGCATAATAGCCTTATTATAACGACGATATGTAAATACGTACAATACGTACTAAATAAGTATCTGTAACGGTAATCAAAAACATTTTTATTTTAAATCTATAAGAATTATGCATTACATATAAGAAATCTACACTTCCTCTACATATAAGTGGTTCAAATTTCAAGAGGATGTACAGTATAAGGATGTCTTATTAGGAAATAAAACTAAGATAAGGTGCAATTATGAATAGAATTATTACACTTAGTATTACATATTACACTATATAGACACTAGTTTGTAAAATTCATTAACATTATTATTATTATTATCTTTTTATACCACTAACACTTTAAATGAAATAAATCAAGAATATGTATTAGGCACTATATAGTAACTTATTTTTTTCATTTTTTTTATATTGATAGTATTTATATAATAAAGTTCCAAAATTTTTTTCAAAATTTATGAGTTTTCAAAACAATTTTTTGTATATAACGAACTGTAAGATAAAGAGGAAAGAATTTGAATATTAAGAAGAAAAAAAATACTGTAAAGCTGAATGCTGTAGAGTAAGAAAAGTATTTCAAAATTTAAGCCAGGTTTCCAATCACTTAAAAGAATTAAAGAAAAATCCAGAGTAATTTTTCAAATAATAATATTAAATAGGATAATGATTAAAAAACTGTCCATAATCACTGAAAAAAAATGAAAATATGCAATCTGGAATAGTAAAAAAAAAAAAAATTTTTATATTAAATCCAATAACATATTATTGATAACGAAAATTAATGAAAAATCAAAGACAAAAAAAGCTTTAATATTCTTATATTTAGGCTATATAGGTCTTCCCATCATGAATCATTCCGCCACTTGTTCCAATAGTTAGATAACCACCTTTGCCTTTTAAATCCAATTTATCGAGAAGCGTATGATATAAAAATTTGTATGCCCAAAGATTACCCTTTATTCTTTTGATATCCACAATATATAATCCAGGAAGATTTTTAAGACGACATAGTTCTACTGCAAACCTGATTTCATCGCCCGAATCTGTCGTTGGATCTCCATATAATACTTCTGGTACTAATGGCGAGGTGGGACAATCGGCTGGGCCCGTAACTGTCATAATCGGACCTAATGTCGGACTAGTTGGTGCTGAAACAGATACTGACTCGTTTGATCGATTTGATCGGTTTGATTTATAGTTGTGTGATAATGAAGATGTGGATAATAGTTGATTGGCATTATTTGAACTTGTACGACGTAACAATGTTTTAAATGGCCCACTAGCGTATTTTTTACGCTTCTTTTCAATAGACAAATCTGATGTACTTTCTGATCCCTCTAATGTTGTCAAAGTGCCCTTGGTCTTTATAGACTTATCTTTAGCAGAAGGTTTGTTTTCAACCTTTCTCTTGCGTCTCACGCATCTAACCTTGAATTCTCCTTCACGTTTTATCTCTATACCCATACTAACTAAAGTTTGTTTAATTACTATGAAAATTTCATATGGTGGTCGTTCAGTCAAAGCTTGATTATCAACTGCACCATGATGTAAACGAAGTTTAGAGTCCACATTAGCCATTAATGTCATTGTAGACTGGCGTGATGATGAAGGTGAATTTGTACTGTTACTAGGTTGTGTAACAATTACTGCTGGATTATTTTTTGGTCTCTTGGTTTTACTTTTGGAATGATTAGCAGAAATGTCACCATTTGTTATACCAGTTTTGTCAACCTTAGCAATCTTGGTATGAATATGTATACCTGGATCCCTTGCTATTAAAAAACAAAAAAAAAAAAAAAATATATATATATATTAACATTAGAATTTATAATTAATTTATTAGAAATAATTATTTGTAGAAATACATAATCTATTTTTATCTCTGTGACAAAAATCCACTGCTTACCCAAAGATTTTCTTCTAAACCAATCCATAACTTTCTTAGCTGCATTAGAACTACTAGAAGACATACCACTACCGAGGGTCTTTCTTTTGTCTTTTGTTGATACATTATTATTTGAAACAATACTATGCGTCGAATGACTTGTCGGCCCTTTAAATGTTTCAACCATAAGGCTTAAAGCTTTCCTCTTGCCACCTCTCTTACTCCTAGAATCACTACCATCATCCATAAGACTAGTTGAATCAGACGCGGTATCAGAGTTTATATCAACATTTTGAGATGGTGGTACTGGTAACTGTGTTGATTGTAAGGGTAATGTTCTTGAATTAATCAAATTTGATTCTTTGATAATATCTGAATTGTTAGTGCGATTCGTAACCGAAGATCCATTTTCTATTGGTGATGGACTATTTCCTGTATGTAGATTAATTTTTTCTGATGATGCTTTTTTGTGTCTCTTTTGGCTTATAGATGATAATGAATCTTGACGACTCGGAATTGCGGGTAAAGGCGTGGTAGGTGGTGTGGTTAAAGGTGGAAGTTTTTGTTGTAGTGAATTATCATTGTTATATTGTGATGAAACCGTGACATTCGAAGATGCGTTGGTAGAATTTTGTTTATACCCTGGTACCATTGATAGAAAATCTTGGGATCCTGATGGAGGACCATGTAAAGTCACAGGTCTAGTACGTGGTGCATCTCTCTTTTTTGGTGTTTGAGATGCGCTCTTCTGTAAATCCGGTTGGTAAGTGTCACTTGGAGGTGGTAAAACAAGATTACTATTTACATTATTAATTCGTGGAGTTTTATCTGAGGATTGATTTTTATTATTGGGATCACTTTCAAACAAAGTAAACAAGCCATTGCCAGTATTTGCAGAATTTCTTGTAGTTGATGGAGTTCCTGGTGGTGTACTTCCTGGACCACTACTTTTATCTGAATTACCAGATCCGGTTGATGTTATACTAAAGTGTTTCTCTGTTTTAGAATGCGGTGCAGTTACTAAAAGGTTCTGTGAAGTATTATTTTTGGTAGTGTCATAATCATTAACTAATATATCTTCTTGTTCTTCGGCTAATATCATGTCTGATGTTGCTACAGGTACAACGGTCGAACCAAGACGAGTTCCATCGACAAATTGAAAATCTTCATCGGGATAATCAACATATCCCTCAGTATTATTATCAGGGTATTCATATTCTACTTGGATAGTATGACGTTTAACGGTAATATTACCAGGTGCAGTGTTTGCTTGATCCACAGCATAATCAGTAGTTAGGAAATTGTTTGAAATAGAAACTCCAGATTGAATATATGCATCTTGTGATGCTAATGAGTTCATCGGATTTGCAGCTTCCTGTATAAAATATAAATGAACTAAATTATCTTTTTCATAAAACTCAATTTGTATTTGAATAAATTTTTTCGAAATAAAACAATCACCTCCAGTTCTCGGATAGTATATTCAAATAATGATGCATATGGTACCAACCATCTAATAAAATCATCAAAAAATCATCAAAAAAAAAATTTATTGGTAATAATAATAAAAGTCAATCAAATAAAATTAAATATAATAAAGTTACCTATGAGACATTATAGTCTTCATATCACATCTCTTTGACGGATCAGGGACAAGCATCTTTCTAAGTAAATCCCTAGCATCAGGGCTTACGTATTCGGGGAATACCAACGGAGTATTAATAATGTATTTGTACAATAAGTTTATATTATCACCATCGGGGTTTGAAGGATCATCATCAAAAGGAAGATATCCTGACAACATAGCGTACTATTACAAAATAAATAAAATAAATAAATCACACTTTATAATTGAAAAAAAGGGTTGATAAAGTGAATAAATGTATAAATTACGTACTAGAATAACACCACAACTCCAAATATCTACAGCACTTCCGACATATAACCCTTCGCTGATCACCAATTCTGGTGCGGCATAACAAGGACTACCACAAGATGTAGCCATCAAATCATCATGAGCACCATTGAATTGGTTTGCGAATCCAAAATCAGTAATTATAATATTTCTATTACGATCTAACAAGAGATTTTCCTTTTTTTTTTTTTTAAAGAATAAAAAAATTCACATAATAAATATAATTTCTCATTTAATGTTAATTGATATTAAAGAAACATAGAACATACTAATTTAAGATCACGATGCACGATATTTTTTTGATGTAAATAATTCACTCCACTAATTAGTTGTGCAAACAATCGACAAGCATCTCGTTCTTTGAGGTATCGATGTGCTAATATATGATCAAAAAGTTCACCACCTATATTATAAAATGAATATAATATATACAAAAAAATTATTAATTAATTCGTTACGATATATATATGTAATGTAAATATAGGTTATTGCTTACCTGAGGCGTATTCCATAATAATGCCAATATATCGATCTGCTTCGAACACGTCATATAATTTTACAATATTTGGATGCATCACACTCTATCGACGTATCGAAATAAATAATTTAGAATGATATAATATTAAAAATATTGATAAAAATAATGTTAATTTGTTTATTACCCGTAATACTCCTATTTCTCTTTCAATTTTTGTAAGTCGAGATGGGGTATCTACAGATTCTTTACGTATGAGTTTGATTGCAACCTTTAAATATTTTTAAAATTTTAAATTTTCAAAAAGTGACTCGATTAGCATTTATAGTAGTTAAAAAAAACATTTTCAAATAAAGCTAAATAGATCAAGTTAGAAAAGAATTAATTCTAATATTTCATAATACAAAGATCTTACCTCTTCACCAGTGTCCACGTGCATACCAAGTTTAACTTTGCCGAATTCACCTTCGCCCAAAGTTTGTAACAGTAGATATGGGCCAAACATATTACCTCTTCGTGCGGAGTTTTGAGATACTTGTGAAGAGAGGGGTACTTCAGGATATCGAGGATAGTTCATTGGGACAGGAGTTGAAATAGGACGACCTCTTGCAGACTGTAGTTGGACATGCTGAGGATGCGCAGGATTTGTCTGTTGTGTGGTTAAGTGAATTGTTGCCGCCATTAATGCAGGAATTTTAAGTGTATAGTGTACCAAAATTATTTGATGATGAAGGCTAAGTGTGAAAAAGAGAGTTTATAAGCTACTAAAGCTAGGAAAGAAAATCTATTAAGAGTTAAGTGTCCTTTTTTATTTTAGAGAAATTGAAGAGGATGTATACGTGTATAGGTATACAACTTTGGGCTTCTTGAGCCCGAGAAGAGAAAAGAGCGCGGTGCGATAAACTGAACGGGGGGAGTGACCGATAAACCAGGGTTCGTTGACAGACGGCTTTGGTTTTCTGTTTGTGGTCTTGTGAGGTACTTTCTTGGGGGTAAAGTTCCGGATTGGACAAAGTGTTAAAGGTAAACCGTGAGCCTATCAAAATATTAGGACATGTTTCACGGCTGACCGTATATATATTACATATAAAAAAAAAAAAAAACAAGAATTTGCAAAAAGGATCAATATGTATTGCACAAGCCGATGAGAACCAGTGATAATTCCAGGAAGGAAATTATGCAAAAAAAATATCCGTGTTCGGAGAGACCATCATTTAGTCGGAAAATATAAACGTAAATTTTGGTATAACAACGAACATTAAACCAGAACGAATACCTAAGTCCGAAAGGTCAAAATTATTTAAAAATACCAATAATCTATTTCAATAATATATTTCGATTTAAATCTTGGAACCTCTAAAGGATGTTAATATCACGGTATAACATGATAGGTTCTTGACATGTAGGGAAGTTAAGTACAACGTGCACAAGAGATAATTAAAATAATCTTTAGTTATCCAAATCAGCAATCATCAAAAATAAGTAATAATTTTTGTAATTCCTAACATAAAGGTACAAAATGTATTGTTTGCATTTTATCAAGCCAATACGTGTTGAAATTCATTTAAATGACAAACATTGATCATCATGTCGACCAAGTTTTAAGAATTTAGCTAACATTACAAATCATATAAAAAAAGGTTCAATTATCCGATATAAAAAAAAAAAATTTTTTTTTTAACTAATGAATCGGGTATTGGTACTCAAAGCAAACATTACTAATCATCCCTGTACTAAATGCATCAAGATCATATTAATCTAAAGGGATCAAAATAAGTAAATTAGATTACTTTACCGTTTTATCAAAGGGGTTTTTTTGAAAGTCCAAAATTCACCATTTAAAGCTAAAAAGGGGAAAAAAACAAATACATACCTGACAGAGGTACGATCAACTGACCTGTGAAACCAACTTTCAAACAAGATTATTTCAATTAAATATCTGGTACAGTTTTCCTGATACGTATATTCAATACGTAAATAGATAATCAATTGGTACTACGATATGATAACGATAAAAGAATGATGTTCCGTGCTCAAGCGAAGAACAGGTAATAACAACATAATTTTCAAAATCCAAACTAGACCACTACTAGGTATATTCATCTTAGGTAAAGATATATCATTGAAGCCACCTACATAACGTGATCTTTTCTCATCACCTTAAAACATTATTAAATACTTGATCTTTGATGATTACAAAAATACAATTGTGCTTAAAAACACAATTGACTGAAATAGATTTTACGAATATTTTTATTGGAAATGTTTTTAGATGAATACATCATCCTGAAGACCATACCCCAATAAGTTCTATTCTTTATGTTCTCAATAAATTTAAAAAAATGCAAATATTGTTTTAAAATTTACAAATATATATATATATACATTTGAGAAATTATTTTTTCACGCTCAAGAAAAAAAAGAAGTCAATTAAATACAGAAATCAATAAAAGTATTGCCAAAAAATGAATACTATTGTATAAGTTAACGTAATTTTCATCAATGTTCATCATGCGACATTATAATGTTAAAATGTTCATCTAAGAGGTTGTTACTTAATAGTTTATCATGAAAAATTCATTACTACTATTATTATTTACCATAAAAATGTAAAGCTTTCACGGCAATTTCTCCCTACAGAAGAAAAATATTTTGAATTTTTCAAATTCGAATCATTATCAAGAATATCAAACAAATACTTACAATAGCTACAAAAACTGCCACAACAATCAACCAGATTATGATCCACGTAATGCGTGTCATATTGTAATTACCAACATCTTCACGCAACATATCCAATAAATCGCTAATGACTTTACATCGGTCATTAAGGAGCGTGGCCCGTTGAGAAATTTCAAGATATGCTAAGAATCGAATAGCATTAATAATGTTTTCTTTAAAGTATTTATAAAATAATAGTGAGTTACCTCTTATAGCACTATACAATGGATCCAAAGAAGGCTCTGCCCAAAATATTTCAGGAGTATCTGTAAAGAAATATATATAGTATATAAGTACGTTAATAATCATAATAATGATACCGTATAATCGCGTAATAACGTTCATGACCCGAATTAAGCCTAGTGCGTATTAAGCGATTATACAGTAACAATAATAATAATAATGATAATAATGATAATAAACATTTATAAAATAATTTACCTAAAACATTGGATACTAGATTAACATTCATTCGTAACTTAAACATTTCCCCACTTAATTTTGTGACTTGAATTCGATTCCTGGAAATATACAAGGCTTTGTCAACTCACTATTTTTTAAATTTTTTTTTTTTAACACATATTCAACTTACAAATCCAAACGCCCAGTTTGAGCCAACATTTTTGGTATATGCATTGTACTTCCGATCGTATTTTCCATTTGCCATTCATATAAAGCTAATTTTGTACTTTGACTCATGGCGTGACTAATTGTTAATTTAATCATATGATTATCTGACTTCAAAGTAATCATATCATTGAAAATTCTAGGTTGTCTAGTAGAATTAAGATCATATTGAAAATGAAAAGTTTCACACTCAACATCTTCACTTTTTAATAAACGAACAGTTACATTTGACATAGCAAGATCATCAAGAATCATTTGTTCTTGATCTTCAGTCATATTCCAAAATACAACTACACCATAATCAAAATAAAAAACTTCACCAATATTTGTGAGAGTATTGTGAGTAGGTTTTGATAAAGGTTCAACATTATCATAACCATCTTCATTTTCAGACATTACAAAATAAGAATTTACTTCATTATTTTCATAATTTTCTATCTGCCTTTCCATAAAAGAATGACCATTGGGTGAACGTATTGCAGTGGATGAAGAAATATTTGTATTTCTACCTCTCAATAATGGAAAATGATAAGGAGCATATATACATTCATCATATAACCTATCAAATATTTAACAGTAAATAATTTTAAGCAATAAATAAATTAATAAATAAAAATAGATATAAATAATAAATTACAATAATTGATACGGTACATTGGTTGAACATTGTGCTCATCTCTCAAAAATTTCATCAACTTTTTAAGATAATAACCTTCAGCCGTACAATAAGCAGTTGCCCTTTTAATTAGATCAATTTAAATTAAAAGATTAATTATAAAATAATCAAATTAGAAAATTAATTGGATGATTTAGAACTTAGTAATATTAAATAATTACATTGCAATTAACAAACATATAGATACCTAGAATATTTGTTGATTTCTCTACTTTCCTTGGGCATTCTCTCAGCATCAGTAGAATCATATGCATTATTAGCCGGTAGATGTGGAACTAAAGGAGTGACAGGAGTTTCAGCATAGTCAGAAAGCTCACTAGGTGGTACTTCTGCTTCTTCAGGAAGTAAAACTAGCTTTTGAGCCGTTTTTGTAGTTCGTGTGGGAGTATTAAGTTTTATTCGACTTCCAGACATGTTAGTAGGTTGAGTGGTAGGAATTATTAGAGGATACGGTGGTTTTTTAACTCTCAACTGAGTCGTTCCAGAAGAGCTTGATATATCAGGCTGTTGAGCGGCACTAGGAGAAACAGCATTCTCCGTCAATTCAAAGGCAGTTCCAAAATCCGATAATTCAGACATTTTTTTGGTTTTTTTTTTTTTTTACAAGAAATGCGATATAAATTACCTTATCAAAAGTATCACCAAAAGTAACACTAACACAAATACTGGCCTATTTGGTATTCACGTGATTATAGATCTGTGTTACTGTTAATTTACCGTTACTTTGTTACTATCGGTTTGCCAAAAAAATTCGGATTGGGCCCAGATTACTGGATTTATAACGTTAAACTGAAATTTATAATCAGGTGACTAACACAGTATAAACAACAGCCTATCTACTTTTAAAGGCAAATGAAAAAATTTAGAAGGCTTATCAGTTCGAAAAATTGCTATATAAACACTTAGGTGTTAATAGATCTTCTACAAGTCGAGTTCTCAAGCACTTTCAAAGATATGGATATATTGAAAAACTTTCGCAACACATCTTTGACAAATATTAAAATCTTGATTTTTTGGAATCTTTACATTTTAAACCAGTCAACAAATTCTTGATTATATCTAACATTTTAATATTAGCATCTATTCGTGTAAAATGATTATTATAAAGTCTAATTTATATTCAGTCTTTTTATTGATTATGATAAATATTTCATGTAAAACCAATTAGGGTCCAATTCTTTATTAGGTCCCGATCCTATCTTTGACAGGCCATTCGGATGGAAATTATATAAAGCTAGCTTTTGATTTGCCAATGGTCACGTTTGAATGACATAAAATAAAATTTAAAGGTTAGTCGGATATAGATCGGAACCTTATTCTTTTTTTCCATAAAAAAAAAAACTTCCGCATCATATCCCATCATGACAAATGGGATTGTCCAAAAATCCCATATGGAAAAATTGAATCTCAAATCCCATCCCATATTATATTAAAAATTGTTATACGTATCATAATAGTATTTGGGGATTCAGCCAGAGTTTGGGATTATGACAGATTTGTCCAGTTTGGCATGTATATATCAGACCGAGTTTTTGAATGCTGATTGCGAAGCAGTTTAAAAATGCTTTTATAGCAAGTGAAATACATGGCCCGCGAAAAATAAACGCGGAATGATTAATAGTATGCACTATTTAATCGCACGTTTTATTTAATTACGATAAATTACATATATTGTGAAATCTATACTTAAAAAAAAGCTTAAAAAAGAATATCTATCTATTTATCGTTATGTTTATTTACACAATTGTAAATAAACAAATAACAAATAAATAAATAAATAAATTATTTAATTAAGAAATTAATCCATTGCTCCCGGGAATTAACAAAGGAAAAATCAGTCTGTATATCCTAGAAAAAAAGTAGGGAAGTTTTTGCGTGAACCATACTACGTATAAAGATAAAAGCCTGCATAAGATAATATGTATAAACATATATATTATTGTATTATTGTTTTTTTTTTTCTTTTGTAAAAAAAATTGCTAACAAGCAATTTTAATTTATTCATAATCACACGCCGTCCTCTGAGCTCGTTGACGACGTGAAGCGGGAGAACTCGTCCACACATCCAAAATCTGTCGTAAGGTCACACCACTTATACCAGCATTTCTTCGGACTAAATTCTTATGATATTCATATTCCTCGCCACGAATGTACGGCCTAATCTCCATCATCATTCGCTTTTTACCATTGAATGGAAGAATCTTCTTAATCATAGAGCTATTATGACTTGATTCGTGATCATAATAAAGCTCAAATAAGAGCATTGGACGTTCTGTAACAGGTACTCTAGATCTTGAGTTTTCTTGGAAATCATATTCATGACTATCCTGATGTATGTATTCGCATACAACATTGCCGTGCTCTTCTAACCAATCAAAAATTTCATCACGTTTACCAAATATTTGGAAACTTGTTCTTGACCGTTTGAGCTTGATTTTTCGTAGTTGATGAGGAATGTAACATGTTAGAAGTCCTTTTTCATTAACTAAATTGAGAGTATCAATAGGTTAATTATATTATGAATGAATAATTCTGATGAAAACTTCTCATTAAAAGAACAATAAATACCGATTGGATATCCGTATTGAACCATTTTAACAAATTCGTTTCACTAAATTTTGTTTATATTGGTTTATTTTTCAGGATGTTTGACATTAAGGACTCCAGAAGAGAATGTATATTTATCATTAATAGTTGTTTGTTTGTTTGCATCAGAAAAGTGTCGTAGTGAGCCCTTTTAAAAGATTTTTTAGAATATCTTACGTCATGGTTTACTTTCACACCACTTTGAGCTTTGGCAAATAGCATTCAACCATTTTTACACGTTAATGATTATTTGGCCAAAATGAGCCTAACCGTTTGACTTGGGGATGGTTTAATTTTTGAAATACTATTTTAAGTAGAGAGTAGTTTGTCAAAATTAAACCTAGGCTTATTACGGAAATCCAGAAAGATTCTTTTAACGGATGGATTCCGCGATCTCATGAATCTACTTTACAATTTCAATTGGAAAATTTGAAATTTGTTTAGTATTTCAAATTACAATAGCATGGGACGACAAAAAAAAAATTTTTTTTGATAGATTGACAGATAAAAATTATGGTAATAATTTTCCGGCTTTTGCATTTTTTTAGGTTAGTTTAAATTACTGTCTTCTTTCTTTTGTGAATTTGATAGTCCGGCCAAATCAGATAATGATAATAAAATTTAGGAAATGTTTGTTTTCACAAAGAAAATCGATTGTCATTACACAAATTAAGACCTTTCGTCCAATTCCTACATAAGGAAACGTAAATTACAATTTAAATAAATATATATATATATGCGTGTTAACCGATACAGAGTATTCACGTGATCTTATATTTCGAAGTGTTAATTATATTCTGTATATGGAAGAACCCAAATTAATAATATCTACGTAAAAATTCAAATCTTAAAAGTTTTTTTTATGCTTAAGAATGCTTCTGAAACTTTCAATGACATAAAATGTATCATAATTTCCATTACTTTCCATTACTTTCCATCAATTTCCGTTAATTTCCATTAATTTTCAAATTTTCAATACCGATTTTCATTTTTACCACTTTTACTATTTTAAATCTTACGATCAAAAAAAAAAAAATTTATATGACAATAACGATAATGGTAACCCGCCGAATCTCAAATATGATTTGAATATGAAAACAGATTAATAATAATTAATTATAATAAATATGCTATCCCATTAAAGGAGAATTTCACTCTGATCACATGCTTAAATTTTTAAATTAAAAATTCAATTTACAAATTTGAAAATTTATCACGTCTCGGAAAATCTTCTTAGCATGCCAATAAGAAATAATTAAAAATTGCATAAATCAAATACTGAAAGTCTTTACTTAATGAGTTATCTCAGCTACCTAATCGATTGCTAATTCTCACAATCATGTCAGCCACAAAAAAAAAATCTTGATTTCATCTAACTTATGGTTATTCTTTTTGAACAAATCTCACAAGCACGTACAGTATCAGTATCTTATTAAACTTTTTTCAGGGTCTCCGTAAAATTATACCAGAATGAGTTAACTAAATGGTGCGATTCATCACGCGAGGCCATGTTATACGAGTAGTACATAAGATTTATAATACACCAATCACATATTCGAATCATTACACGTTTGAAAATGAAAGAACACAATGAATTTTTAAAGCTTCTTTTTTCTTTTTTGTACAATTTTCATGTTTCATATATTATTTTATTGTATGAATTTTATGACTTTGTAAAAGTTGTTTTCGCGTTTTTTACGGTACTTTGTATATACTCATATGCGTCTCTATTCGAAATCTTTAAATCTTAGATTCCACACATCTATAATTTCGAAAAGGTAATAATTTAAGCCATAAATACATATTTTGACCCGAATCATCTGTGAATCATTGAAACTCAAATACTTGAATATATAACATCTTGTTGATTGAGAATAATTCTTACTATTGTATTAGTAGTCATCGTCGTCAATGGATATCGACTTCCAAATTCAGTCGTAATTTGTCCACGTTTTATTTATGGTTTGTTTTTTTTTTTTTTTTTTTTTTTGACCGCTCAGGATTACAGGATTATGAATTATATGAAACTTCCGAATATATTCCGTTGAGATCAAAAATGGAACACAATAGGTTGCTTATGCTTAACGTACGTATATAATATTAATTTAATAAGTTTTGTGTATATTGTTTTTTTTTACAAAATGTAAAAAATAAATGCATATCGTTTTATTAATAGGTGGAAAAAATTTAATAATACAATATTATTGAAATTCCAGACAATTAAAATTATAAATTGACAGTAGATAATATTAACCATACGTAGAATAATTCATTCGCATATGCTTGAATTACGTCTAACCTTGTCAATTTGGGGAACACCTGATTTCAAGTCGAAGATTAACATTCTGATGGTAAGAACAATAATAAATATAATACAATTTTATCAGAAACCGATTAGGATAGGATAATGAATGCCGAGAAAATTGCAGAATTGGATGAACGTAAGATAAATTATTGCTGTCAAAAAATTGTCCGACATTGAAATTGATGTTGATAATAATAACTTTGATACTGTAGAATATAATTGGGGAAATTTTAATTTTTACAATAAAGGAATCCAAGTCCAAGTTAAGGAATAACGTAAGACTTTTTTTTATTCATTCTCAAAGCTGTCTCAACAATTAAAACGAAAGGATGTTCAGATTCAAATTTTCTTTTCGCTTTTAAATTATTAAGACAGCTTTAAGATATTAACTTTTTTCAAATCACTATTTCTATTTAATTTCGTACTATCTTTATTATCAAAATTAAAAAAAAAAAAGAAAAGATAAATATAAATGATTGGAACACATATATTTATGAGTAAAACAAAAATATATAGATAATGAATCCAAAAGTTGTTATAGTATTATAATGAAAAGGTTAAAGTCGATACTGGAAAATAATAGGAATACCAGATAACTCGGGTAATCTGGTAGGCTTCAATTTCTAGTTATTGTAAAATAGATGCATTGCCATGTACATTAACGTTAATATAATTCTATTTCTCTAAAAGTTTCTAGAGGATGGAATCGGTGAATAATTATTCGATCATTGATTAAAATCATCGAACATCGGTCATCAAAGTTAAATTTTAATAACGTGATATTGAAAAATTTTTTGGTTAAAAATATTGAATTTGATTAAAAACATTGAATTTGATTAAAAACATTGAATTTGATTTAATAATAAAGCACACAAAGTGTGCGCTTATTTTCGGGCACGAGAAATGTTACAAGTGCGAAGACAATCTTATAAAATCCGAAGCTCTTTGGTATAATAACATTAACGAACATTAAATAATTTAATATTTAATATCTCGCAAAATTTTTTTTCCCAAGATTCAGTGTTATCAAAATTGGATTTTCAGCATTACAATAATCAGATAACACTAAATTCAGAATTCGGCCGATCAAATTTTTCTCGGTTGTCCCAGAATTTATGAGAACAGTTATAATATATTTTTAATATTTAAAAAACTCGAACATTTGAATATTCGGTTAAAATTTTTTTCAACGATGCAAATCTTATGATTGTATTATTTTTAATTTTGTAATCAAAGATTTACGTATTAAAACGTTACGTTTCGATCCTATTCTTAAAAGGCTATTGGGATTTCTTCAGCGTATTCGGTTAATTAGCATTAGTAAATTCGGAGGCCTCAGTAAATAGTACCATATCAAAAATGATGATCATTATTAGATTCTACTCGAACCGTCATAAGTTGATTGGATGAAATTAATAATTCTTATCGTTAATAATGTGACTTTCAAAAAGAATGCATCACCCGAAAGCAAAATTTTGATCTCGCATATCTTCTCAACGACGAATTATCTTTATTTACTTATCAATCAATCAATTGATTGATTGATTAATTAATTTAGCAAAACTCATAATATTTAATGCTAAAATGTTAACGAAATTGAATCACAATCACCGACCTGTGTTATGAAAGCACTAATTAAAATCTAATAGTGATTTTAACCTTGAGCAATAATATTATTACAGAGGGGGCCCAAGTAAATCAGATTTTAAAGATATCAGATTCTTATATGGGTTTTCGGAATTCAAAAAATGATCCTGGTTATCAAAATCGGTTAGGTTTTCATCGAGATATATGCAATGTTAGCTAAACAAAACTTTGTAGTTAATTAAAATTTTGATTCCCAAAGTTTTATTTAGCTAAAATTGCATACATCTAGCGGTGGGACTACTGATTTTAAATTTTAATTTTCTCATGTTGTGATCTATTAAAAAAATTCCAATACTTTATAATTATTGAATGCGACAATTAAGTTCATAATTTGTTAACATAAATAGTCCCATCATCTTAATAAGCATCTAACCAATTTTAATAACCAAGATTATTTTTTGAATTCTAAAAACTTTATAATAATCTAATATCTTTAAAATAATTTATCTAGAGTTTCCTTTATAATGTTCTTGTTCAAAGTTAAAATTACTATTTTTTTTTTTTTAACTCTTTGGCAGCCTTGCCGATCACTTTTATTAAAATTCTTGTATATATGTTTTGTACAAAATTGGCTTAAATTCTGGTTCGATATCCCCCGGCTGCTTCTATGAGTGCCCAGGAGCAGTCTGCCGCATTGGTCAGAAATTAATCTGGCCAGAGGGCTATACCAAGCTAGTTATTAGGATCATAAAAGAATGGTCTCTATAAAACCAACAACTGAACCTAATCATAAACTTTGTATTTTCTTTCATCCTTCTTTTTCTTCTTCTTTATAGTTTGGTTTTGATTCTCTGATCTATTTCCTTTCTCTACCTCATGTAATGATCTGTTGATTATAATATTTCTTAATGTGTTATCTTTTTGTTTCTTATCTGTCAAGCTAATTCCATTTGCTTTTTCTAGTTGGTTACTTATTTATAATATTTTTTCTATATATTTTCAAAAAAACCATTTCATATTGTATTTGTTTATATAATAAAGAATTCTTTTATTTTTTTAAAAGTTTAGATAAGATTTTGTAATGTTATTTTGATCTTTTCTTGTATTAATCATTT